TACTGATATACACCTGAACATCAGCAGGAGAGGACTCTTTAAAGTAGAGACACTACATACTGATATACACCTGAACATCAGCAGGAGAGGACTCTTTAAAGTAGAGACACTACATACTGATATACACCTGAACATCAGCAGGAGAGGACTCTTTAAAGTAGAGACACTACATACTGATATACACCTGAACATCAGCAGGAGAGGACTCTTTAAAGTAGAGACACTACATACTGATATACACCTGAACATCAGCAGGAGAGGACTCTTTAAAGTAGAGACACTACATACTGATATACACCTGAACATCAGCAGGAGAGGACTCTTTAAAGTAGAGACACTACATACTGATATACACCTGAACATCAGCAGGAGAGGACTCTTTAAAGTAGAGACACTACATACTGATATACACCTGAACATCAGCAGGAGAGGACTCTTTAAAGTAGGTACTCAGATGTATTTTCGTATATCAAAAATATATTATCGAAACAAACCCAGCAGAATTATTGGTAAATGTCAGATCTAAAAAAATAAAACACTATCAATACGGGTGTGCTGGCTCACATGGGACCTTTATTTTTGAAATATTTACCGGAAGTAGCATATCTGTTGCAAACTGGAGAGATAAGATGGTAAGGAGGAGGAGGGAAGAGGGAAGGGGGAGGAGACTCTCTCCCAGCTGGGGACCAATCACAGGACAGGTAGCAACAGGTGAGAGGGAAACACACACCTCTCACACACACACACTGCTGCGGAGACATGACAGGGAACTAGAGAAGCGAGGACCATTACAGCCTCGGATGAAAAACTCCTTCATTTGGATTAAAAGCGCTTCTATACCCCGGGACAGAATATAAAAGCACTTTAAAGAGTGTCCGCGCGGAGGGAGAGCTACTTTAGAGGTTTCAAAACATGTTTTCAAGAGCGGTGTAGTTTATTCTGGGCTGCTTTAGTTTGTTCTGATGTCTCCTCTGTTGCAACAATGCGCGTAGAGACGTTTTATTTCAGGGACTAGTTTGAGGATTTTTAAAATCAGATCTGAATCATGCAGAGCTCCGAGAGTCTGAGGCCGGCTCAGTCGGCCAGGAAGCCGCTGGGGAAGCTCTCTTCCCGGCTGGAGGAGGTGAAGAACCCGTGGAGACAGGTCTCCTCTCTGGAGCTCAGCCACAACGAGGCGGCGCGCCTGGCCACGGACGCGCTCCTGGAGCAAGGTGAGCACGAGTACAGGAGGGTGCTGAAGGAGGAGCGCGAGGTGAGCTTCCTGTCCCAGCAGGAGGTCCAGTACATCACCCAGTACTCTGCAGCCGCTGCCTCCAAGACCTCCTGCGGTCCGGACAGCTCCAATGACCGGGACTTCGAGGAGGATGTGTCCGAACTCACCTCCGGGACTTATTTCCCCATGATGTCCGATGAGGAGCCACCGATGCTGGAGCTCGGCTGGCCGGAAAACCCTAACAGATTCGGGCCATCAGAGACCCAGATCTACTTCCAGAGGGACAAGAGCCACAACGTGAAGGACCTGATCCGGTCCCTGATCAACCAGGCCAAGAAGGTGAGAGGCTCGGGGTCAAAGTGAGGGGTAACGAGGGTACCTGAGCTCATAGAGTCACAGAAACATGAGGATAATATATTGCAGTGTGCTTTAAATGAACATGAGCTGTTTATATATCAGTACATATATTTCTGGAGTCATTTGGTAGTTTTGCACTTTATACTCTCTTTGGAAGCCAATATTGTACTTTTTACTCCATTATACTTATTTTTAGGGTTAGGTTTGATTTGTATTTGATTCAGTATTCATCGTCCCACAGAGCAGGGGACATTGACATTCTGCATTTGACCCATCTTAGTGTTCGGAGCAGTATCTGAAGTGACGCAGTCACAGCAACATGAGCATAATGTGCAGTGAGCTTTGATGAACACACATCTCCCTAAGTGCTGCTGTTGTTTGTCAGTACATATATCTTTTGTATTATTTCTTTCTGGAGTCTTGTTTTGGTAGTTGTTGGTCTTAATTTGGTAGTTTTGCATACTTTATACTTTATACTTCTAAACCACTATTTTTGGAAGCCAATATTAAAGTTCTGAGTACTTCTTCCAAC